CCTCCTCGCCGGACGCCGCGCGCCTCCGCCGCCCTGGAGGGTCCCGGGCCGGGAGCGCGGCGGGCGCGGGCTCAGCCCCCGCGGCGGCGGGGCGCGCAGCGGGGCGCGGCGCGCATTGCGCAAACTCTGCCCCTCTGTTTGCTCAGGGAGGAACGGAGACCCCGCTCGCCCTGCAGCCCCGCGGCTCGCGCAGCTGCGGCGCCGGACGCGCGAGGCGCGGTTAATGTTTCATCCGCCTGATCTCTGCGCTGGGTCCGGGTCCGGGTCCGGGGCGGCCTCCCTCCCCCCGCCGGCAGGCACCCGCGCTTCTCCGAGGGCGGCCGCGTCACTCACTGCCCGCGGCCTGGGCGAGACGCGCGTCGCCGCCGCCGCTCCGGAAGCCGCGTGGGGTTCCCCCGCCGCAGCCCAGCTCTGGGGATGCGAGCCGCAGGCCCATGCAAGGCCGAGCACGTCCCTCCTGGGCCACCGGCCAGACCCGGACAGGTTAAGGCGTGAAGGTGAAAAGGTCACAGCACTGGCAGGCTGCCACCCGGCCGGCGGTGCCAGGAAGGGTGCGAGGATCGCCTCTCCGCATGCCTGTGCTGCGACGCGCCTCCGGGGAACCCGAGGGGCGAGCCAGCCCAAGCCCACTCCAAGGGCCCGGGGTCGCAGCCCCCTGCCAGCCTCCTCTGCCCGGCGGGGCAGCCCGGAGAAGAGGGCCAGGGCCCCTTCCCACAGTCCGGCCCTCCTCGCCCAGCGCCCAGTCCGTGCAGGTGAAGGCACCTCGGGCGGCTGGCCTGCGCTTCAAGTTTGGCTGCCCCTTGAACAGAGAGGTGGGGCACACATGCCCTCTCCCCACAGCCCAGATCTGCCGCCCCAGGACAGCTCCCCGGCCCTGCACCCACCGGGACCCCCGTCCAAAGGGGCCACCAGACACGTTCCTGGAAAACTTTGCTACCAGAGACTGCGAGTCCTCACGGCCATGTGCAGAGGGATCATGCCCATGGACGGCGTTTGCTGGGGAACGCGGGTGGGAGGGCGCACTGCACTCCGTCCCGCTTGCGGAACCGGGGGGCAGGTGGTTGGCACTGTGAAGGCAGGCCAGGCAGCCGCCTCCCCCCCATCCACGCTCGGGGCTCTTCCCACGTGCTCATGGGACCCTCAAACTCCCGGCCGGCATCGCATGGGTGCAGCAGCCCGACGGCTCACGGGGCACCTCACGGGGCGTGTGCTGGGAGGCTCCGCTCAGGAAGCCCCTGGCCAGGCCGGTCTGGGCCCCCCGTCGGAAAGCGTCTCGCGGCGGCCTCGGCTGCGCGTCTGCAGCAGGGCTAGGGAAAGGGGCAGGTCCCAACCCAGCCCTGGCCACGCGCAGCCCCCTGAAGCGGCAGGCACGGGAGCCCGGCCCACGGTGTCTGCTGGAGGAATTTGGGACAGCGCTTCAAGACCGGCCCCACCGGGGAGCCGCCTCGCATCCCACCCGGAGGCTCCGGCAGGTGCGCGTCACACGCTGTGTATGCCACAGCCTCTCGCAGCCGGGGCTTCCGGGCAGCTCGGGCACCTGCGCGGCTGGAGCGCATCTCACCCGAGCCACCTGCCCGGGAGGTGGTGGTGCTGCGCCAGCCAGCGAAGCCTGCAAGCCTCACGCGGGACCCTTTGCCGGGGCCGCCCGAGGACCGTCCGCCTTGTCGCTTGGTGTGCAGCGCGGCTCGGCACACCGTCGATGGCAGGGTGGGGCGGAGTGGAGCTGACCGCCTGGCTTGCACAGCCGCGGGCTGTGGGCCCGAGAGAACTGCACAGGGAGCGGAGGAAGCGGGGTGCAGGGGCCCCAAGCGAGTCGGCCAACACGGCGACAGCGAGGCCATCCCGGCTCCCCCGCTCTGTCCAGGGGTGCAGGATGGACTTCGCCCCCCAAGAGGCCATGGCGTTGCCTGGATCGGGTAGCTGAGAAGGGGGGAGCCGTCATTGGAGCAGCAAAGTCCCCGCCATCTATGTAGGGAGTGGCTGCCTCCATTCTCCATCGGGCGCCCGGCACAGCGCTCTGCCGCACCCCCTTAAAGGTGGGCGGCTCACGGAAGCTGCCAACCCCGCCGCGTGCCTGTCGCGACTGCTCGGGAGCACCCCTGTGCCCGGTGGGCAGGGGCCCGCGTTTCCGTCCCCCCGTGTATTGGCTCAAGTGCATTTCGGCCCAGCCGTAGCCTCAGCTGCCCTGGCCCCGGCCCCATGCGGCCGGCTTGCGGGCCTTCCGGGAGAAAAGGGGGCATGGGAGCCCAGGCTCGGCCGGCCAAGGGGGAGGCCCCCCCCCAAACCACCAGCACAGCTCAAGATGGGCCACGGCGGAGGCTCCTCTCCAGGGAGGAGGGGGCAGCGCCCCACCCCATCGCGGGCCTCCAGGCGCGCAGTGCGCTGCCCTCCTCCTCCGGCCTGGGGCGCCTTGCGGTGAGGCGGGCCTCCAGCCCCCGGGGCTTCCCTTGCCAGGATCCCAACATGCTCTGCATGGCTTTACCTCCAGAACAACAGCCCTTTGAGGTAGGCAGGGCGGAGGGTCTGTGGCTGGCCCAACGCCACCCGGCGAGCTTCGAGGCTGAGGGGGGACTTGGATCTGGGGTCCCCTCCCTCCCTCCCTCCCTCCCTCGAGCAGCCAGGCCACGCTGGTCCAGGCGGGTCCACTGGCCCCGGAAGGTGCCGCCCTGCTCACGGCGCACCGCACGAGATGCCAGCAGCCTGGAGCCTCTCGGGCGGGGCGAGCCTGCAGCTCCCATCATCCCCACCCCGCCTATGCAGGCCAGAGCAGAAGAAGACCGCAGCCCGGCCTGCCTGCGAAGCCGCCGCGTTCCCAGCACAGCGTCGGAGTCATGCAAGGAGTGCGGAGCCTCGTCACTCGTGGGTGAGGCCGCCACGGCTGCCACGGCGGCTCCCTGTGGAGCCAGGTCCAAGGCCACGGGCGCTCCCCGGGGCACCATGTGCTGCGGCTGCACGGTGCCGGTTTTTGCCCGGGGAGCAAAGCCGGGGAGGCGAAGCGGCTTCTGCCGTGCTGCCCACAGACCCCGCAAGCGCCACACAAGCCACCGGCCGTGCCAGCGCCGGCGCAGCACCAGCGGCAGACGCACGTGGCCCCAGCCATTGTTAGGCCGTTTCCTCCAGGCGCACGGGCGGAACACCAGCTCTCCGGCTCTTGGCGACGGCGGCTGCTGAGTGGAGTCTGCCTGCAAACATCGCTCCTGAGCGGCCTCCCTGGGGACCACTTCGCGGAGGTGCAGGCTCGACTGTCTGGCGCGTACGTGCCCGAGGCCAGCGCTTCTGCTGCGGACGGACGGCCCGGGGCTCTGCCGTGGGGAGCCCCGGGGCCCCGTGCGCCTGCGTGCCCCTGCAGGGAGCCCTGCCCACCCCCCTCGCTCCACGGAGCCCGTTGGCACAAGGGCGATGCCCCGATCGACACGGACGGGCCCGTTTCACAGCTGGAGAACTGAGGCTGGGCCAGGTCTGACTGCACGTGTCTGTCGCGGGGCATTTGAGCCTGGCCCCCACAGCTGAGCCCCCACAGGCCCTTTTCTCCCAGGGGGTCGGGGACCCCGAATGGCCAAGTTGCACCCCGGGAAAGACTTGCATGCGGGCAGAAACTCAGGCAGCGCCGCTTCCCCCACCACAATCTCGCCGTGCCAGCCAAAAGCTTCACGGGTTGGATTTCTACCTGCAACAAACGGCCCACACCTTCGGTCCACTGCCAGCCTCCCCCTACCTGGTGGCCTCCACAGGTGTTGGACTGCAATTCCCAGAATCCCCTGGCCAGTACAGTCGCTGGCCAGCCCCTCTGCAGGGTGTGAGGTGCCCACGGCTACCTGACCAGGGCGCACCTTGGCCCGCGAACCCGGGCACCCTGGCTCCCGGCACGCCCTGCTGCCGCCCCTGCAGCCAGCTCCGCGCCTCACGTGAGCGTCCGGGCGCCCCAGCCCGCCCCACGCACGGCCCGGACTGGCTACCAGGCCCAGGCGTCTGGCCCCACGGCCCCCTCCCCCCACAGCTGCTGGGCCCAGGCCAGCGAGCTGCAGGGCTTCCGGCAACTCGTACGTGCCGGCCAGCACAGGCGGAAGCCTTGATCTGCCGACCTGGCGGCCACTGCATCGATCCTGGCCCCGACTCCAAACAGGGACGGGTCAGGCGGCGCCAGGAGAAGTGACAGATCAACCATTCCAGGCGGGAAGGGAGACCTCTGACCCTCGGCCCTCAGCCGCCCTCAGGTGCCTCCCCAGCCGGGCTGCGGCACGTCGGGCCCGGCAGCAGAGCCTAGTGGTGGCTGCGGGCACTCACGCCGGGACGCCTGGGCTGCCCCGGGCCCCTTCCGCCGCCTGGGTCCCCCCGCACCAGCCTGAGGGTGCTTCTCTGGGGCTTGGACAGAGCCAGCGAGGGGGGCTGTGCTTCCCGAGGGATGCGCTGGAGGCCAGGGAGTGGCAGGGCGGGGCGGGCCGGGACGCAGGCGCTGCTTGGAAGGCCCTTCTGCGGGACCCACGGATGCCTGCAGCACAGACGGGCGCGTGCATCTGGCGGCACGTGCCCCCGGGGGCCGCCGGAAGGGCCCTCCTGGCTGTTGATGCCCCCTCCGGTCCATCGGGGCAGCCCGGGGCGGAGCATGGCGGCAGGCAGCAGGGGCCGGCCGGGCCCACTGGGAAGACGCCCAGGACTGGAGGGCTGCCGGGATGACCCACGGCACCCTCCTGCTCGTGCCCCGTGTGCAGCACGGGGGCGGGAGAGGCCTGGCCGGGGGCGCCTCCTGGCGTCCTTTTCCAGGTTCCACGGCTGGTGGGGAAGGAGGCTTGTGCGGCCGCGGCCCCTTCTCCTCGCAGCCTGCCACGCTCACGGGGCCACCTCGCAGGTCTGTTGTGGGAGAGCCTAAGAGGCGCGCGCAGAGGCTTGGAAGCCCTGCGTGGCTGTGCTGTTTTCCTGTCCACCCTTTCGGTGTGAGGGAGAACAGGCCGCCCTGCGCACTCCCGGGAGCCAGAGAGGGCAAAGTGGCCATTCTGGAGCCGAGCGCCTCAGCAGTCCCTGGCGAATGGGCCGTGGAGTCCAGCCGTGCTGGCCTCCACGCATGGCTGCTCTCAAAATAAAGTATTTTATTTATTTTATTTAAACATCATTTTAATTGTTAATATTATTTGCTTTTTTATCTGGCCAGGGTGACTTATATTGTTAATTTGTTCTATATTTTTAATGTATTATATTTTAATTTATGTTGTGAGCCGCCCCGAGGCTTCGGCGAATGGGGCGGCATAGAAATGTTTTAAATAAATAAACTGCAATGTTTTAAATAAATAAACCTCTACGCCATGGATAAGATGGTGACACCCAGGGCCAGAGTGCATTTTGGTAGCAAGACCCACACTCCATGCGCATGACGCTTGACAGTATGCCAGGGAAGAGGTCTCTGCCCCGAGGGGCTTACGGTCCAGTGGTCAACAGAGAGCAGTAAACAAGGGCTTGGGTGACCTTTAGGACAACATTCCCCGTCTGGCCACACTCAGAATTGCCACCCGGCCGATCGCGAGGGCCCCCAAAGCGGCCACGGGGCCTGGGCGTCTGGCCACATGGAGGCGCTTTCACGGCAGACGCCAGCACAAGCCGCTGGGGATTGTCGAGGAATGCCTCCCTCCACTGCCTGCCTGGCGCACCTGGGACGCAAAGGGCAGCCGGTCAGATCGGAGGGCGCCGCCTGCCACAGGGGGATGTGGCCGCTGCCCCGGGAAGGCGAGCCCCCGGTCAGTACCCAGGCAGGGCTGGGTGATCGGTGGCAGGTCACCCCCGGCCCAGAACTCCCGGGAAGATTTTCCCGTAGCGTCGGGGCTCACCCTCTGGAACGGTGGCCCCTGAACGCCAGAATGGCAGGCTGGCCATAAATCTAGCCCTTCTGCAGGTGGGGCCGCTTCCCCTCAGCCCAGCGGGGGGCTTCCAGGCACGCCAAGGCTGCCCCGCATCCAGGGCCGGGGCACCAGTCCGGCCACACGTAAGGCGTGCGCCCCACCGTGTCTCTGGTGGGAGGGAGTCCTTGCACCCGCGGCACATCCGTCCCCGTCGTGACCAGGAAAGGTCGAACAGGCTCCCCTGCCCAAAAGGAGACAGAGGGCCAAGCTTCTCGGCCCGAGACCCACCCCGGCCCAGCGTCAGACCCCGGTGGGGCCGGAAGAGCAGTGGCGGCGCTCTGCGCACGTTCTCCAACCTGTGGGCGCTGCTTATCTGATCGGCAGCGCGTGCCAGGCCTCTGACGAGGGCCATGGCTGGCAGCGTGAGAATGCCACGGAGGATGGAAAGAAGCTATTTCCAACGCGGGCCGATAACGCCCGTCTCCCGACACACGGCCACGGTGACAGGAGGGAAGGGGCTCCCTTCTGATCCCCGGGCAGCATTCAGCGAGCCGGCAGGCAGAGACGCCCGCCGAGAACGCTGCCGCAGCCTCCTCCAGAAGACGGCCCTCGCTTCAGCCAGCGGGCACCCGGGTCCCTGCCCAAGGCCCATGCTGGCTGGGAATCGTGGGAGCTGTAGTCCAATGCATCCCCAGTGGGGGAAGCTGCCAGAGTTCTCTCCTGCTTACCTTCCTCCTCCTCGCCCATTTGTCTTCCATCTATGAATTTTTCAGAATTCGTCCACATATTTTGTATTGCACTTTAGACTTGTAACTGCTTGTAAGATCTTAGTTTACAAGAGGCCAGATAAAAACATAATATTCCTGCAAGGAACTGAGGGCAGTTTACAGAAGCCGCCTGCAATTTTTATCCTCACAACCACCTCTGCGAGGGCGGCAAAGGCACCCAGCGAGCTCTGCAGTCTTGTGGGGCCGGGAACTTAATCTCCGAACCCCCCTCCAACTCCGACCACCAGCCCCGCTGAGCAGAGCAATCGCCCACTGCAAGCCGCGTGGGGAACTGGGGAGCGCCCCTATGCGCACTTAGGCAGAA